GGTGAACTAGCTCATAGAACAATGAACTAGCACATCCAATTTATAATCTCAAACTTCATGCAGTTCTGTGCAAAACTCCATTTCTACCATCTCAAGATCTCAGCAGAAAACACTCAACCTTAAACCTGAAATTTTTTTCAGACTTACTTATACCTGGACTTGACTAAAAATGTGGATTTGCTGACAGTCTCTAAACTACCTGATTTTCTTGGGTGAAACACAGTGCAAGCACAGGACAGACAGCACCACCTGATCTCACCAAAACACAGCAGACTATAGAAGGCATGAACTACCTGCAAGGCCTTTTTTTTTTTTTTAAAGATGCAATAAATAATACATCTGACAGCTCAACAAGCATCTCTGAGGTTTCAAGAATGCTTTGGAGTACAAAATTCCCAAGGTTGCATTCACTTACACCACTTGGTTTCAAATAGATACGAGTCTGCTGTCGGTTCACTTAAACGTGTAACAGGAAACTCAAATTTGACTAAAAGGTTGTATTACATTACTACAGGGTTTATATGGAAACCTTTTTAGAAGGAAGAAGCTAAGGGTTTTTTTCCTCTCCCATCTGCGACAGACAGCTGTTCACTGCCTGGAATCTCTGATAGCAGACACTTAAAGTAGCACCACGCTGAAGTAAATAATTTAGAAATTTCTTTAATTGTACTGACACTGTACAATTATTTGCAATTTATTGTATCATGCCATGTTATAAGCCATGTCACAAGATTTAACACTGGAAACTACATACACTGTTTTAACAGAATAGAAAATGCAGCTTTTTGCTGAAATATTTTAAAATGTTAAAAAACAATCCAAGAGCCTTCTCATGTCTGGACAGCAATGGCGCTTACAGTGAGTCCAGATGTTTAAATACTTAGAACAGGTTGGAACTTGAAGTAGTCTTGATTCAATTCAAGGTGCATATAAAAAATATGTCAAGATAGAAAAATACTTATCTACCTGTAAAAAGATCTGACACTTTCACAGGCTTCTGCATTTGAACCACTATTAAAAATAACTCCTTGCACTTTTCTGGTTTTAAACAAAACTTTACTGCCAGGCTCTAGAACTGGCACTTGGTCACACACTCAGAACCTCAGCTCTACCCGTCCTGCATTGCAGCCAGCTCCAGACAGCAGCTCCCAGCCTGGCTTTAGAAACACACACCTCCTCACCACCCCAAAACCGGGGAGAAAAGAATTATAAGTACTTTGTGCAGTTTAATTTTCTATGTAACTTAGACACACTGCAGCATTTCCAAAAAGCACTATGACTTTCCAGTCAGACCTAAATCCAGATTATGCATGCAAATGTTTTGGCTTCTGGGGTTTTTTCTTCAAAAAGAAAAACACTGACTGGGCCACCATCACCTCTCAGTTTGAACACTTTGAACTCTTCTTTCACCTCCTAGATACTACATGTTCCTCCATTTAACTTTAGAGACACAGCTCTGCAGTGAAACATGGAATTCACAAGTGGAGAGACCCAGGGTCCAGCCTCTTCCCAGGGCACCCATCGCAGTCCCCAAAAGCAGGCCTGGATCCCTCAGTCCCACCAGGGGAAAAGGCAAGGACACAGCTTGGGAAAGCACCACCTGCCCTTCCCAGCCACAAAGAGCCAGGCCCTGAGCTCTCTGATTTAATCCAGCCCCTTTGGGCTCCTTGGTTCTACAGCAGTTCACAGAGAGCTGAGGCAGCCCACAGGATGGGGAACCCTCCAGGCCAGCAGCAGTGAGCGACATGAGCCCACGGAGACTGCCTGGTGCTGACACACGGAATCCTCCCCACTGCTCCCATCAGCTGGAGATAAGGTGCCCTTATCTCCCAGAGCGCACCCTGACCTGCCAGGAGAGCAGCAGGGCCTGCCTGAGTCCTGGCATGTGCTTGTGCTGAAAGCACTACAGAGGGTGAGTACAATAAACACAGCTTAACAGCGTTTGGTAACAGAAAAAAACTATTTTCAAGGCCTCTGCCTTTAAGAGGACAGTGTTCACTTTGCCCATTTTAGACAACCTTTAACTTCCACGTGATTGTGTCCTGGGAAAGGCCACTCTGCCCAGTCCATGGAGTGTGGCACGGGCACAGAGCCTCTTCTGCCTCCGTGCCTGTCCCACAGCCAGGAGCAGAGCAGCTCACCATTCTCTTGCTACATTTTCAGCATCTTCAGTGACAAGTGGCATCAAGGTCATCATCAGAAACTATATTTCAGCTGCATGACTATGAAGTTTTTGCCTTCAATATTACAAGATTTTTTCCTGCATCTTGTATTTATACTGGCTACATGGACACACATCACATAATTTCCTACAAACACCCCAGTCAAGCACCTGGGGAGGTGTACATGGGTTAGTCACCAGCTGCCCATAAAAGGTAAAACAGACTGGTTCAGTGAGTTTCCAAGGCAAAGGCAGGAGTGTGTGTCATGGGCAGAACGGCCATTCACGACTTCCAGAACCATAATTCTGTGCTCAAACCACACAAAGCGTCACAACCACTCTCTGTCTATACAAGTGCTGAGCTGTAGTAAAACTGTGGAAGTTGCAATTAGAAACAGGTTTGTTCAGTGGTGAAGGTGAGCCCAGCTTCTAAAATGAGGTTCCGTGTACTTAATGTTCTCATTGCTGAAGATCACCATGAACAACCTCCTTTGCAACAAGAACCTCTAAGAAAAGCAAGTCAGAATGACAAACACTAAAGCAGAAGTTCGGCTATTAAACTCATTTTCCCTAAGGACCCATCTAAGCTTTCATTTAGGACAAAGCAAATGTCCTACAAGGCCCAGATTTCCACTTTCGTCATTTCATTTTTGAAATCTTCCTGCAAGTCCTTCCTCTGCTCCTCCAGCCACAGTTCCTTTTTTCCTTGCTTTAAATTCAGACTGAACACATTTGATTTCTCCCACCTGCCCCAGCTGTTGGCTGCTGCAGCCACACGGGTTGGTCTGTTCTGCCAGGTTGGCTGTTATTATACATTTTTCATAGCCTTGAGGTCAAATATATTTTGCATCATATAAAGGAAGAAAAGATGCTAAAATACATCCACTAATTAATCCTTTATACTTCTAGAAAGCTGCAGGTGTTCAGGAAGGGAACTTGTTGGTAACCACCCCCATTTTACAGCCAAGAGAGCAGAGGCAGAGCAGGAGAAAAGACCACACAGACATTTCTGCCTTCTACCCCCATTCAAACAAAAATACTCATTTTACTCTGAGTAAACAACAGCTCCTTCAATATTTAAAAACCTCTTTCAAGCCATTGCAAGAGCCCTTCAGACCAACAGGTATGTGTGAATAAAGCCCAAAAATACATTGCATGAGAAGCATCAGAATCTCTATTTTCTCCAGTACAGCCTCGATAACTGCAAGAAATAAGAAAAAGCCAGTGTAGGCTCAATATTTTCAATGTATAAGTCAGTGTTATAGACTGACATAAAATTTTTCAGGCAGGATCATAGAGGGCAAGTGTTGCAAAAAAACCTGCTTCCCAATATGGGCTTGGGGTTCAAGTTATTCATCTTCATCTGGTTTTCTCCCAACAAAATGAACAGTGAAGAATTTGAAAAGGTATATAAAAACATTCCAATTATGCATCCATCCTCTCTCACAAAATACCTATTTGTCAAAAAACAGAATTCCAGAGGAAGGAGGGGAAAATTAAACAAGCAGAAACATTTCATACATCACAGGTGTTAAGAAAGCAAAAGTTTGGTTCTGCTCTGACAACTCCTTTGGGGTGACAGCAGTCACTCACATTCCATCTACAATCTCACTTCCCACAGAAGATGCTCTTTTTCCATCATAATAAAAGTTTCTCACAGCTCCCATTTTTTTAGGTCTCTAAGACTCAGAGCCAGAGGAAACAGGCAGCAAGAGTCTTATCTAAAAGCAGTTCCTTCTTTTTTTCTGCTGTTGCTTAACAGAACATGACTGTCACAAAGAATGTCTACAGGAAAAAAATAACAGTGGAAAGAGTTTGACTCAATGTCAAGAGATGTCTCAAATGTGAAAGCTGTAGAAATGCTGCAGAAGTTAAACGGTTGCTTACAGTGATTCACCAAAAAAATGAACTTTTAAAGGAGATACAGAACTGACAGCAAGACAGCCTCAATGTGTCAGGAACTTGCATCACTGGACTTCTAATTGCTACAATATTTCCTATCAAACTACTTCTCCTGCAATAATGCCATAGGCAATCACCATGGGCAGAGCTATTCCATGTGTGTGAACAGGCAGACAAACAGATGGGCTCAGAAATTCACCGTTATTCGAACCAAGCATAAATCACACTTTGGAGAGAAAAGATGGTATTTGGTAGTTCAGCTGCACCATGTGCTCTCCCCATGCCATGTGTAATCCTCCTCCGGCAGCGGGGTTACCGCGGGCTCCCACCTTCGGAGAGAGCGCGGCAGAGGGAGCGGGAACGGCCGCGACGGCTCTCGGGAGACCCCGGCGTGCAGCACCGGGCAGGGTCTGGGGCCGCCCGCACAGCCCGGGGCTCCGTGCGCCAGCCCCGGGCACCGCCGAGGGCACAGCGAGCACATCCCGGGCTGGGGGCAGAGGCGCTCGGAGGGGCGCGGGGTAGGAACGGGGAGGGTGGGCTCGGAGCAGAGCTGCTGCTGAAATGGAGACCCCCCCAAACCTCCCCAAGCCTCCGAGCGACGCCGGAGCGCGCAAACGCTCGTGTCGGTGCCACGGTCTCAACTTTGCTCGAGTCGCAAGGCCGCCGCTCGGCCCGTCCGGCGGCGCCGGGGCTGACCCGCCCGGTGCCGCTCCCGGCCGCTTCCCGCTCCCGGCCGGGCACGTGCGGACCCCGCGGCCCGGACCCCCCGCTCCCGCACGGCCCCGCCGCTCGATCCCCCCGCCGCCCCTCGCTCGGTGCCGCGGCCCAGCCGGGGCTGCCCGGAGGCGCCGCGCGGGGCCGGGGCCCGCGGCGGGCGGGCACACACCCCCGGCGCGGGGCGGCGCGGCCCGGCGGGGCGCAGGGCCCCGAGTCTCACCTGCGGCGCGGCGGAGGCGCGGCGGTGCCGGCGCGGGGGCGCGGGAGCCCCGCAGGACCGAGCGAGCGGCGCCGCGTCCCGCACGGAACTTCGCCGCGCGCGCGCCCGCCCCGCGCTCTCGCGCACGCGCCGCCGCTCGGGCGCGCGCGCCGCCGCTGCCACGCAGGCCGGGCGGGGGCCGCGCGCGGGGGGCGGCGCGTGCGCGCTCGGCGCCACCTGCGGCCCCGCACCTGGAGCGGCCCCGGCCCCGGCCCCACGGCCACACGGCCCCACGGCCCCACGGCCCCACGGCGCTGCCCCGCGGGACCCAAGGGCCGCCCGCCGCTGCCCCCGCCCCGGCTCCCCGGGCCCGACATCCCCTCCCGCCCCGGCTGCGGGAGGGCGGCAGGGGCCTCTCGGCTCGGAGCGGGACCCATCGCAGGTCCGGCCCAGGCGTTTCGGAGCCCCGGGCCTCAAGCGCGGCGCAGCCGAGTTCCTCCACGAACCGGCCTGAACGGGTTTGGCTCCAGAATCTATCCAGCTTTTGGGATAGAAAATCCTCAGTTTGCAAATTAAGGCATGAGTACTCGGCATAGATTGAATTTGAACCTCAAATTCAACAGGTTTTTTTCACAAATGAGCACGAACGTGGCAATAAACACAAACCAAACGAGCGAGGCTCAGCAGTGGTCCCTGTGCAGCGGCGGGGCTCGGGACCAGGGCAATTGCTCCTATTTTGTCAAGTGCTGTCACCTTTGTCAAACTTGCGTGGAGATGTTTGCTGGTACGGCTGGAAGCTCCCAGCGCTGGCACGGCTCAGTGCTAACAGCAGCCCTAGAGCAGCTCACAAATGAAACATGCTGTGCCAGCAAAAGCACCTTTGCCACTCTAACCATTTCCATGCAGTCCTTTGCTAGTAAAAATACTACTTTAAAGTGCTTTTTTCTTCTTTCCGATCACTCCTGTAGGGCAGACGAGTTGAAGGGCCCCAGCAGCGAGCAGGGAGCCAGTCCCAGCAGGACAGGACGGGGAAGGTCAGCCCTGTCCCCCGGGCCGAGGCCGGGCCCCGCGGCGGGCGAGCCCCGTCCTTCGGGACAGGACCGAGCTCTCCCCGCGCTGCCCGTGCCCCGGCCCCGCCGTTTCCCGATCCCCCAGGTGTGCCGCAGCTGTCTGCAGCAGGCGGTGGCACACGGAGCCGCCCTGCCCCGCAGCGCCGGGGATTTGCTGCGCGCGTTCCCGGGAGCAGCGGGAAAGGCCCCGCTCTGCATCTCTGCCCGTGTTCCAAGGAAGTGCCTGCAGCCCTCGTGGCGTGTCGCTGCTCTGTCCCCTCTCTCTCGACTGATTGCATCACCTCCACCTACACCAGAGCTGTGGGGAACCTGCTGCCCAAGACATTTCAGTTCAAATAAGTCACTTTTTCCAGTAGACTCCACTTACAGACTTCAAAATAATTCTGTGTTTTACAGAACCTGAAACATGATGGTAGATCTTTGCTCAAATGGCTTTTATCCATAGAAACTCATACTTTAGGAAATCCTTCTTGCTAAAGCAGTGCCACCTCCAGCATCCAGAGAGACCCAAAACTGCCGTGGTTGTTTGGTAAGATTTTAACTGTTTCTTCTGGAAACATCACCCAGTTTTGGTTTTGTTATAAAGCTGCTTACACCTAGCTATAGAAATTCACTATCAGTTTGGGTGAATATAAACAAGATCCAGGGCTTGAGTTTCTGATACATTTAAGAGACAGAGAAAGTCGATTCTCTCTCCTGGAGCATTTCTGATGGCGCAGAGTTTCTCTCCGGGGTGCAGATGCCTGCACAGCTCTGCAATGCTTCTCACTAGAGACAGAGCAATAGACACAACAGATGGAAACTAAGAGGCCACCTGGTTTTAAAGCAAATCATATCATCAATCTATCAGTACAAAATCTGAAACATGGGAAAGTGCTTAGAGAAACAAAATTAATTCAATTTTTTTTCTCCAAACTCAATTTTCCCAAAGTCTGTTGATGTACCATTTGCAAAAATGCATTTCTTTCTCTTAAAATGAGAATGTCAGTGGATTGAGGTGGAAGAACTTAAGTGCTTTACATCAAAACAACAAAGAAATATCTATTGTTAGGCTGCCATAAGTTACCGTCTTTCTATTCAGTAAAGCTGGTTTTTAAAATCTGCTACATTCTTGTGCACAGCTCCAAGATCCAGGTTTTTCATGGCTAAATTAGACAGACCAGACAGAATTAATTTAAATTATCAACAGCAATTCAGTTAAGAAAGAAAATTAAATTTCCTCAATTAAGTCTTGACAGAAATAGACTTTTGTTCATATCTGTGCTACAGTTCTGTGTGAAATTCTCTTTCAAACAACCCCCGAAGTGAGAACTTTCAGATGTTTACATTACTACTTATGTGTTTCAGGGTCTGTAGGATCAGCCACAGATCAAGTCTCCTGAAGTGTAAAAAATGTATTTTATACACACGCATCTAAATGAGGGTTGCATCATTCACAGATCCCAGCTAATAATTTCATTTAATCAGTTAATTATCTCATACACTTCAAGGATGGGTTGATGTACATCTTAATCTGCACTTCTTAAAATCACACTGATTCAACTGTCCAAAGGAATTCTTAGTAGTTACTGTGAGTCTGTAAAGAATGGAGAATTACCTAAATAAAAGTATTTAAACAACTTATTTTTTAACCTAAAACACAAAGAAATCATTTTTTATGCCTCTAATGCACTTACAGCCAATCCTCACAGGGTTGTAGAGCACCCTCGGCCTCCTCACTATTTACAGCCCAATGTTGTAGCACTGACCCACTGGGAGTGAGGCCACTTCATGATAATTGATCCAACAGAGCCGAGCACAGCAAGGGAGCACTGTAATATCAGGGGCTGAGAACATTAAACCAGGAACATTCCTGTGTTACTTGTGGGTATGGAGATTCACAAATCCGTTTTGGGAAAACTAGAATGATCTTGACCCAAATCTTTAAGGATTTTAAATCAACATACAGTCAATTCGATTGATTTACTTTATCCTGAGAGCTAAATGCAACTGTCATTGTATCCTTCATTCTCAGTCCATTATCGATAAATTCCTGGCCTTACTGACTTAATATATGCCTATTGACTTATTTATTTTCCATTCCTAATAGCACACAGAGAGCAGACTGCTGGAAGTTCTTTTTCAGGGAAGGAAAAGCAACACCAAAAACAAACAAACAAACAAACAAAAATAAAGACAATCCCAAAATAACCTTCTTAAATGTAAATTGTAGAGTTTAAGGAGAGCCAGCCTTCCAGCAGTAGCTGGAGAAGCCAGGCTGTGGATTGCCCCTTGCACAGGCAGGGCTGCAGCTCCCTCCACACAGGCTGAGCTGCATGGAGTGGCTGCAGCCTGCACGCTCCGGCTCACATTTCCATAAGGTTGGGTCCCAGAGGAAGCATTAATGCTGAAGGAATGCATACCAGCGTGGAACGAGGCGAAAAGGCAGCACAAAATCTCTCCAACAGATTGCTCACAGAAACACCTCTTTTGTACCATATTTAAGATCTGTAGATTGATCTCATGAGCATTTGTGCAGCAGTTTAGTCTCGAACTGATAAGCGTGCACCGAAAGGAGAGAAACAGAATCAAGGCAGATTAAAAAGCGTTGGTGCTGGGGCAGATAAGGAACCGAGAGCCACCACGTGACTCAGAACGCTCCAGCCCGGCCGCCTGCAGATCTCATCAGGGAACCAGATGTGACCAGTGGCAGAATATCCTTCTCAGCGTGAGATCTGGAGGATGTGATTGCCATCCAGGAAAGGGGAGATGGGAAAGTATGATGGGGAAAATGGCCTTTTTTTATAGAGTTTAATTGCTTAGAAGAAAGACACGTTTTCCTTTAAAGAAGAAGGGATGCTCAAAAACAGGCTCAGGAAGGTGTCTGGAGGAAGGAGCAGAAGGATTTTTCACATGGACAGAAAACTGAAAATCGCTTCCTCTTTTCTGGTGGTTGTGTGTTTGAAATGATGAAGTGGCAGCAAACAGTTCTCATTCATTTCTCTGGTCAGTTGAAACCAGGGTGGGGCAGTGCAGAAAAAGTGAAGAGGCCTGTTGTCCTCTTCTCATAGAGCAGAAAATTGTGCATTTTCATTCATGAATTTGTTCATTGTCCTGCATGGAGAGGACAGCTGGGAGAGATGCTCCATCCCAGGGGAGGGAACACCTCGGCCCTAGCACACTCTCGCTGGTACCTACACCACCCCAACTGCAGACAGCTACAGCATGAGCTCCACTCTGCCTCACAGGGGCTGTGGGGCAGCTGCTACTGGTGCTTTTGTGGAAGGACAAGTGGAAGATGGAGTTTTTCAAGCACCCAGTCTTGTGGTTGCAGCTCATTTTGGGGTGAGGAGGAGGAGGAGGAGGAGGAGGAGGAGGAGGAAGTTTGCTGTATGGAGTTGGAGCTGAGACACAGAGTAAGCTATGTGTCCTGCACACACAGGTAGCACTCACTGTGCTCCTGAGAGAGAAAGAGTTGTGGATGCCTTGTCTCAGCCCCAGCAAAAGGTTTGGAGATGAATCCTGTGCCCTCAATCTGTATTCCAGCAGAGCAGAGAAGCAGTGCAGGGAGCAGCGTGCTGGGGTGAGGCCCCCAGCAGCCTGGGCTGCCAAGCAGATGGGCTGCCGTGTTCTCAATCAAGTGCAGTTTTTAAGGTCATGCCTAGATAATGAGCATCACAGCACCCAAGCCTACAGATCATGAATATATGGATGAATATTGACTCGCACGCTCTCCTTTCTGCAGCTCCATCCCTGGAGCTGTCCCTCTGCTCCAGCTGTGCGAGTCTGGAGCTGCCACTAAGCCCTGGTGTTAGAGCTCACCCTGCCCTTGCTGCTGGGCCCTGGAGCACCTTCATTCGGGTGCCTCCCTCCCACTTCTCCGGGCAGGGTGTGAATGTGGCTCACTGGGGCTGCAGAGCAGCAGGACAACTGCAGAGCCTGGGCCCAGGTATGAACTCAAACCACATGTTAAGCTGATAGTGAAGATAAACCCTTCTACGTGCTTCATTATTGTGTAAGCAAGACACAAGCTTTA